AGCCAGTTTCAGATGTCAAAATAAATTACACCTACAACTAACGTCATCTAACTGTGAGCCGCAGGAATTAAGTTTACCACCTAATATATATCATTTATTTTTATTTATTATAATATATATATATACAGGGTGAGTCATTTTAGTCTATGGATCCGAATATCTTCCAAATTACGGTATCTACAAAAAAATGGTTTAGATAAAAGTTGACTAGGACAGAGGGGGTCATTCAATTGTACCATTGGTTTTGACCTTGAGGTCAATTTTGAAGGTTACTTCAAGGTCACGATGGTTTTTTCTAATGGGACACCCTATTTTTGACTGCGGATTTCGAAAGAGCGGAAAATTTTACATCAAACTTGTCTTATGAAAAAATTGTTTTTGCGACCTTGGAAAGGTCAAAAATGAAGGTGAAATGTCTGAAAAACGATCTGGTGTACTTTTTCTGAAATGACGTGGTTTTCTGGGTAACACACATGTGCATAATGCTTAAACAAAGTCAATGAATTGTAAAAGTGTAAATCACTTTAACTAGCTTGACCTTGAGGTCAATTTTCAAGGTTGTTTGAGGCTCATAACGCATTTTTTGATGTTTTTACTTTTAGCGTTACCCGGAAACAACGACGTGGACGTAGTAAGTTCTGTTTCCTTTAGGGTGCTTGATTATCGTTAGTCAATTAATCGTAAATAGGGTTTACTGATCAAAAATGCGTTATGAACCTCAAACAACCTTGAAAATTGACCTCAAGGTCAAGCTAGTTAAAGTGATTTACACTTTTACAATTCATTGACTTTGTTTAAGCATTATGCACATTTGTGTTACCCAGAAAACCACGTCATTTCAGAAAAAGTACACCAGATCGTTTTTCAGACATTTCACCTTCATTTTTGACCTTTCCAAGGTCGCAAAAACAATTTTTTCATAAGACAAGTTTGATGTAAAATTTTCCGCTCTTTCGAAATCCGCAGTCAAAAATAGGGTTTATTAGAAAAAATTAGAAAAATTAGAATAAAGAATAAAGAATAAAGAATAAAGAATAAAGAATAAAGAATAAAGAATAAAGAATAAAGAATAAAGAATAAAGAAAAATTAGAATAATTAGAAGAAAATTAATAGAAATCCCATTAGAAAAAACCATCGTGACCTTGAAGTAACCTTCAAAATTGACCTCAAGGTCAAAACCAATGGTACAATTGAATGACCCCCTCTGTCCTGGTCAACTTTTATCTAAACCATTTTTTTGTCGATACCGTAATTTGGTA